GGATTTCGAACTTGATGCATATACCCAAATAACCCCATGACCATGCTCAAATCAATCTGATGGTCAATGGCTTGATGCAGAAATGATTAGTTCCATCAATTACTACATACAGAATATTGCTGTTCAAACGCTTTCCTATTCTCAACAGTCGTCTAAACATAATAATCAACATTTTTGGCAAAATTAAGAAAATTTATTAAATCGGTTAAGTATGGGGACAGAAAAGTGCAGTGTGCCATACTAGCAAAAGCAAAAAGGATTACAACATTAGCACTTCAAAGCCCTCCTCCAAATTTGCACTTAATTCATAGAGTGTATCTTACTATCTTAAGCAAGCTTGAATCATCATTAAATGGCATAAATTACAATTACTCTATTGGTGAAGTACTAAAACAAAAAATTGTTGACGGCATTGACAAAACCAATAGAAAACTCATTAGTTATTTTGATAAGACATTGCAAAATAAATGGGTGATTGTGAGTTCATTTTCACATTCTGAGGAAATATCTTTTTTGGATGGAAAAGCAATCAAAAGAGCGGAACTTGCTATTCATGAATTTTCTTCAATGTTTCAATTAGCAGAACACCCAGTTGGATCCCAAATTCAAACTGTCAATTCTTCAATTTCGGAAATTCAAGAGTCAATTACATATCAACACCAATTTTCTAGTGGCCCCTCATCTCCTTGGTGTGAGCCTGAAAATGACAATAATAATTGGAAAATTTAGAAAGTGAGATTGTTGTTTATAAGCTAATTAGACTAAACAAAGATCGTTTAGGAGCTTTAAGATCGCCAACTGTACTGGGTGGGTCTGGATCAGAGTTCTTTATATCGATTGGATCTCCTATTCAGGAATATTTGATTGAAAATCAGTTTGTCATACCTCAGTTACATCGTCTTGCTCAAATGGCTTTTTCAATTCCTGCAACTGTATCTGGTGTTGAACGATTATTCAGTAGCGCTGCTATTCTAATTGGCAAGCATACCAATCGACGAATGGTGTCTACTGTCTATAACAGATTGTTTGTGAAAGAATTTTTTAGATATCATAGCGTTTCTTCCATTGATTAAAATGATATTGATATTGTTAAATGATGAAAGTGGTTATTGGCTTACAAATTATATAGAATTGTTTATTTTAGGCATACAAATTATATAATTTGATTATCAATTAGATAGTACCTGCAAATTCAGCTTAAGTGATTATTAAATTGTTATTTTTGCCGTAAATTACTCTTAAATTTGCACATTTGATGCTTGTATTAACAAATGCTCACTGTTGAGCTCAAAATAAACTCGAATGCTCATTAAACTCGCATAATTCAAAAAGGCCGAACTGCACAGATCCACCGCAAGCAGCACCATGCGCATCAATGCAGACGAACCACTCTCTAATACCCTTCAAATACTTTCTGCAATCATCCAACTTGCAACATCAACTTCGATTTCAACAAATACACAATATAACAATGTCAGATCTCAACGCAAAGTTCCAGAATATCATCCTGAAAAAAACCATTGACATTAATCACATCAATCGGATCAGAATAAATGAAGAAGCCACAATTATTGATTTCATCAGGCTAAACTCAGAAATGAGCGAGGAAGAATATATCAACTATCTATTGCAAAACAACAACTCTGACCCAAATATTCCATTATCCCTTCTACTCCCAAACCCTCAAAGCATTACTGCAACAAATGACTCAC